GCATAAAATAATGTTTAAATACTGTTTAAATGGGGTGTATAATCCACATGCAAAGTGAGCATACTTTCTGATTATACGACAAAAAATCTGCATTTTTAAAGAAACCCACTTCCTAGCGATCACCAACAGCGTCACGAGACAAGCACCAGGGGGAGCTAGCGTCAATTCTCTTCTCGCTTCCGCTTCCGCTCCGTCGAGCGCGGCGATCGCCATGCGGAGCGCGAGGGCACAGCCGCGGCCGCGGCTGGCATCTCCATGGCAACGCGACGCCGCGCTCGACGTGCGCGGCCGGGTCGCAACGGCTGGCGCCCTATCTATGGTCAGGGCCGCGGGGGCTCGCCGCGAGAGGTCGCCCGCTGCCGTCACGAATTTTTTATTTTAATCTGTTTGTTTGTTTTTTGTTGGTTGTACAGAGTTCAGATTTTGGCTAATTTTACATACGTTTTGAAAACTTGCTTGCTCGTTTATATCCAAAGCTTAAATATTTTTCATGGTTGAGAATGTGCTAAAGGGTCCAGTTAAGTTGGGTTTCGGTATGTTTGAAGGAATATGTTGCAAGGGAATTTTTTATTACTATGGCGCTGGGGTTTCGGTTTTTGGTGAGTCTGAATATTGCAAGATAGGGGATTTGGGATAAATTGAAAAAACAAAAACAAAGTTTGTGGCTAGGTGTGTTTCGTTGGGATCTAGGTTTAATTCTCTTGAAAGTTGTTGATTGGTGACAAATATTGAGTATAGAATATTATTCCAAAAACCTGGTTCTGAATGATTTGTATTTTATTTAGAAACGTTTTTGTGGCGTTTATTTAGATTGCGGAGTTATGGTAATGGGCCTTTTCTGGAAATTAAGAAATTTTAACTGTAGTTATTTTATTTTAGCTTGTATTACCTTAGCCTCTATGTGCTACTTCCAGTTTAGTTTGGTGCCGAACTTTATTTCCAGGTTTTTGAAAGGTTTGTTTGGAGGAACCAATGTACTGTAGGATGTGCTGTACTGTAAAATGTGCAGCTGTTGATTCTCACTATTATCGACTGGAACGTGTTGTTTTTTTGTTGTCCTTCGTGGTGCAGACTTTGATCTGATCACTAGGCAATGTGTTTCTGAGGAAAAATGACACTTTTGAACGTAAGCACTTCATGGATCTGAAGTGTAGATCATTATCCTAATTGTTACATAGCTTATTCGCTCCCGAACTACATGTTCAGAGTGTAAACGTGTAAATTTCTAATCTATCCCGTGATTATCTTTGGGGGCACGTTGCAGACATGTAATAGAAGCATTCGATTATAAATAGAATTATAAATAGAAAAGTTTGATTATACATCTTTCATAAGACTGAGGGCAACATCATTATCCGCATTCTTGGATATCTTAGATCATTACCGAACTTCACTGGTTCAATCTGGAAATGCAGACATTTTAGCGCAGGCCTCAATAATAATCGATAAGACGTACTGCACTTTGTAAAAATCGTTTCGGTGTAACATTCGAAGTGAGCGGCCTTGGCGGACTTTCGCGGACAAAATAGATGTAAATGTGTCAGATGTAAATATTATATATGGAACCGTTATGTTTCTCCAAATTGATTAATGACATTTTCAATATCTCGTTTGGAACCTGAAGGGCGAACTAATATCCTCTGCAGACAACTACTTTATAAGTAAAAGGTAGTTCTTGGACAGTTGAACTAAAAGAGGAAAACTAAATACTCTAAAAGCAAAGAGACATTAACATTTTACTTTCTTACACAAATTAACTTCCCAGAGTGCATACCTTTAAACTAGTATTGAATTCTTAAAACTAATTGTATTATTTATGATTGTGCTAGTCTCTGATCATTGAGAGTGAGAGAAAACAAATATTTTGGGTGTAGTGAGAGAAGTTCCACTTCAACTGAACCATGTTCAGAATCTAGTTTACGAAATAATGTAACCAATATTTTATATTTTGTAGGTTGCAAAATTACTGTTAAGAATCCATTTTAGTTGTATCATGTGTTGTTTAGTATGTTAGTGTTCATGTACGGAATAATAATTAGAAAAAAATTCATTACTATTTTAGAATTACTAAACAAAACGAATAATAAAGTACATTGCGCCAGGAAAGACTCTCCTATTAAAAATTGATTTTTGTTGATAGCAACCAGATCAGTGAAAAACAAGTGAAGGGGACAATACTACTAGCATCTATTATGATTGTGGCGAGTACCCAATTTACGTTATCAAACCTCAGCTCGTGGTACCAACATAAATTCTCTTCAACACTCAACCCAGCAAGGTGCCCGTGCGAAGACTTATCTGGCGCGCTAATTTGAAGTAATGTTTCAAAAGTCATTATCCCTCTGAACAATAGCAGACGTGTCAAAACGCGCTCACGCGAGCAACTTGCACATCTCTACGTTCCTGCGAGTAGAGGCATCTTCGCTTTCTTCACTAATTCCCCCACCCCATATTGAAAAACTGCTTAGTGGAATTCCACTCTCGTAGACTCCACTATAAAAAACTCACAAAAAACTGTACGGAGAGTTTAAAGCCGAATAAAGACTTACCTGCAAGGATATTTATTTATAATATTCATTTACAGGAAATAAATGAATTCTATTTATAGTGTTGCCTTGCCCTGCCTCACACCGAACTGCCCAAACCCGCCATACCTCTTTTCCACTGTCCTCGACCTTAGTTAACCCGCCTGATCCCGCCGCTATCCGTCTTATCAAGTCCTGTACACTACAATCACAGTCGCTATCACCATGAAAATTACGTACAAATTCAGAAGCGTAGTGCAAACGCAAATCGTGAATACGACTTGAAATTGTGCCGAACCGCACTGTAACACCGCATAAGCTGCGTGCTGAAAATACGCATCAACTAGATCCATGTTACTTTCAGAATTTGTTACTAATGTCTCCGCCTGCGTGTGCTGAATGCCGACATTTCAAATTTGTTTAAAAAAATTATTAATGTTTATCTTCCATATACAAAAATCTTAGTTTAAAGTGCAGTCATCGCAGACTTTCAGCTTTCAAACATTTTTTTTCTGAGATTGACTGAGTAATTTATCCGGAAAATGGCTATTTACATACAATGTTGTGAAGATATTTGTACTCCTGGTTACAATATTGCATATTACTTCTCAAACAGTTTTTTCTATACTTACCCACCCATTACGTAATATCACAAGGAAAAATAATACTCAAAATTTAAATATTAGAGGTTTTATCCAATCAAACTATAAATGCACTGAATGTTTGGTATGGTGTTCATTCCGTTTACCTCTAGGATTCAAGCGAGATTCACTGCTTAGGTGGTGGTTAACTATGCGTGCTTGGGGTTGGCGCGTTTTCCAGTTGTTGTCACCGTGGTACCTAACAGGTTTTACTTTCCATGACCTGATATGGACCACAGGTCTTCACACTCAGAATGCTCTTGTTATACCTTACAACGTGTAGCCTTCGGTCCCCTAACGGTTTGGTTCGATACAAGCAGGGGTACGTGAAGTCGCGCCTCGGTAGCGACAGCTGAGCCGGAATCTTTACGTGGAAGAACCTGACTGCACCCGCCCCACTATACATACCATTTTGTATCATTCAGTACAGAACAGTTTAACACACGGTTTCACCAAGTCTATTAAGATACAGAATTATTCATTTCTTTATATTTAGTAAGTTAGCATATGTAATATTACAAATACTATGAAGGTTACCGAAGAGGAAATGCTCAATACATTATTTATTATTTATTATGATTTACTTGAGAATATTAATTCTGTATTTTTAAAAATTGTAGGTAAAGAAAATAATGAAATACATAAGAGTGAGGACTCGTTTGTAGCCCAGCCTCTATAGGTGTTGCCGGTTATAATCCACTCACGGGCGGTCCCCTGATACGCCTGGGGTGTGACTCTCACTTTTTACACAGATGTTGGTCTCAACTATATCGGAGCTAACTGTTTCGGAGAAAGTGAGATCTCGTTAAGGCGGGATATTGTCAGAGAGTTTAATTTTGCCGGGCATCTACCCGGGTTCTTTTACTTGCTACAAGAGTGGCGTGGCTGTTTTGGATTTTCCGCCCTGTGAAAATCCACACAACTCGGCTCGGGGTCAAACCCTGCCAATGCACTGGAACCTGAAATCTCCATTAAAGTAATCTTGTTACCGCGACTATGTAACTTATCTCAAACCCCTACTTATTTGTAATTCGGGGTATATTAAGGTTTTCCTTGCTTCTAAAATACTTACAAACTATCAGTTCACCAATGTTTAATGAACCATTTAATATTTTGTCTTGAAAGACTATTTATGAAAGATTTAAGATGGCTACTGACAAATCTGAGGCATGTTACACAAATACATTGACATTTTTTTCTTATATCATTACTCTGCCATAATTAATATTCTCAGAGATAGGTCTCAAAATATGCGTTTTAATACTCTAATTTACTGCTTCGAGAATCCGATATGAGAGTCAACTTTGTCGCCCTGTTACACAATTTCAAAGCGTGCAGCCACTCACGTACGTTCTAGGGCGCCAATGTCACGTCACATGACGTCAATGTCATGTTTTGGTTGGGGCCTGACATTCGTTGATGAACACGATTAAGACATTTCAAATTGTTTACATCAGTTTCACAAAATCTTTTTCCATTTCTTCTTAGATTTATGAGCTATTTCTGAGTTTCTCTAGCAGACTTGACGTGAAATAACACACTATAATATGTAATGATCCAAAAACATATACTACTTTCTTAAGCGATATAGTTTGTTCTTCTGGAGAGTTTACCTGGTTCGGTTGTCTTTCTGAATATGGCTCATGTTTTAGATAAGAATTTGTGCGTATTCAGAGTACCTGTCGTGCCGTTCTTCTCGCAATGCTACTTGTCGAGTGTGTCACGTCGTGTGTGGATTGTGATAGGATCATGGAGCATGGATGATAGGATCATGGTTGGAAATTCGGAAGAAAAGTGAGAGGCCAGTTATGCTGAGAAATATCTTCTGTTTCAGGCCGAGGCAAAGGGCGCCTCTGCGTCAGAATATGGCTTGGTGTTTGGTATCTTCGAGCTAGTCGTGTTCATCGTATCGCCCCTCTACGGACAGCACGTAAGTAAACATTACATTGAAGGCGGCTAACCTTCATTTGTAATAGTAATTCTATATTTCACTACTAAATGTATATTTTTCTCTTACGTAAGCAATTCAAAAATCCCTAAACTCAATGCATTGAAATTTCCCTCAAATGCTTTCAGTAGGAGTGGTTCTTTTATTTTTTTTATAACACTAATTTCAATCGCTCAAAAGTAATAAAATATTAGGAGTATAATTAAGATAAAATAAATAACACCAACTAATGAATCTAGAGCAATCGTAACAGGAATGTTCGTACTCTATTCTCATAGAAGCTGCAAGATTTAATTTACAATATGATTATATTTACTATATATTTTTTTTAATTTGCAGAAACGTTAACCACAGAAATGTATAAACTTTACCCATTTTCTATTCTTCCCTTTGCAGCTAAATCGAATCGGGCCTAAGTTTATGTTCAACGTGGGAACGTTCACCGTTGGCACATGCGCCATACTCTTTGGGTAAGCGAATTTTCTATTTCTTAAAGAGTGTTCTTTGAGAAGGAAATAACTTACGAAATTATGTCAGAAAATAACTTACGAAATTGTCAGAAAGTCTTGGAAATGTAAAAGTATGACACGTTCGTATCGAGATAAAATTAGTAAGATTGACTGAATGCTACCCTAACAATGTTGCGGCCTAGTAACCTCTAATACATGCTGCGGAAAATTGCTTAATCTTCTTGATGAACTTCACACCATTGACAGCTAAAAAGTTACGAAACAAAAACTCATTTCGAATTATGACGTTAGTAGATTATGCAAACAATATTCGTTACATTAAACAAATATTTTTTTGTGTACTTCGAAATTAGTTCCTCAGATGTGGTTTGAAATACTCCACATATCTTGGGACAGAACACACATATATTGCGATAGAATATGATTTATGTGAATTAACTATCGAATCATGATCCATTACATAATGAACTCTTACAAATAATCATGAGCACACAAATATGCTCAACGTCTTGTTTACTTACGTAAAATTTTCGCATTTATTAATTTATATTACTATAACGTTTTTTTAAAATTAATGTAAATATTTAATTTACTTTTAAATTAAACAACGTTCAAGTGTCATCATTCTGACGATCATTTATGAAATAATGCTAGCTCCACTAGGACTCTACTGACGTGAATTACTATTTCAAATCATCATTTTACAAATTTTACGCCAGGAAGCTTAAATCTTAGGTATTGATATTAATCTGAAATATATTCGACGAAGACTTTAGAGAGATGAGAGATTTTAAAATGGTATGCAATACTGACTACGCAACTCCATTAATATTGAAAATTATTTGTAAATATGACATAGGAGTTTGAGTGTTTTAAATCTAGATGTGAATCAACTGAAACCTGTAGCTAGTAAAAGTTGGAGATTGCAGATGTTAGCTGTGGAAATGCATAAGAAAGAAAATTGTGAGGATAAAGCCGTACCTTGATCGCTGACGTGTGCTCTCGCAGGCTGCTGGACAAGGTGAACGGCCACGTCCCGTTCATCGTGCTGTCCTTCATCATCCGGATCATCGAGGCGATGGGCAACGCGGCGTTCCTGACCGCGTCCTTCGCCATCATCGCCAAGGAGTTCCCGGACAATGTCGCCACCACCTTCGCCTCGCTCGAGACCTTCTTCGGCCTGGGGCTGATCGTGGGGCCGACGGTCGGCGGCGCCCTCTACGAGGTCGGCGGCTACACCACCCCGTTCGCCGTGCTGGGCTCCATGCTGTTCCTCGCCGCCATTCTCACCATGTACGTGCTACCGGACCACGGGGACGACCGCCGGGAAGCCAAAGACAGTTGTGAGTACTCATCAGGGACTTTCAACTCCAATATAACGCGGTGGAATCCATACAGTGGCGCGCTCTCCTTCTTACAGGAACTAAATAAGAACCGCTGCCAACTACACTTAAAACGTGTGTAGCTGCTGCGTAGGTTCGCGAGACGCTAGCAGGCCCATAATGTTACAAAAGATAGCTTTCTTCAGAGGTTTCTTATTTGATAATAATAATAGATTTGCATACCGGTGACTACCAGATGAAATGTGATTGTCAAAATGGTGAGAAATGCAGATGTTTCTGGCAATTTTACATAATTTATGTGTATAAACTGGACGATCATTTTGCCAGATAAATAGACTTAAGTTACTTTTAATAATCATGAAAAAAAATCTTTATTTTGATGCTGGAAAATAACAAGACATTTAGAATACGTTTCGTATTTCTCACAAATTAGCTAATTTGTAAGTGGGAAAGTTGGCGAGCCTATCGTAGCACCCTCCAGCTTTGTCCCAGGTTTTGATGGAGAGCTCAAAGGCCCTAATACTGACATGGTTTTGCTTTGAATCTTTTACACCAGGAAACTTTTTGGCATAGTCGGCACTTGATTCTGTATTCTCTTAGAGTAAAGGTAAACAAATCGCAGAGAGTATCACTCCGCGGAAAACGGCTGTTTTCTCATTTGTTTTGCAAGCACCACTTGAATCAAACCCGTCGATTGCGTAATTGTGAGCAAAATAATGTAGTTTCTAGAAGTGAATTCTAATGTAATTAGTAACGAACAATAACGTTTAATGACAGACTACCCGCTACGAAAATTTGGGTGACACTCCGCCAACATGTCAAAAGTGCATGAATGTAAGTCTGCTCTCTCACTTAATGTCTCCCTTCGATAATTTACAAATAACGTCAACTATAAACAACCAATATGATAGTAACCAAAATTGTATTTCTTTCCTTTACTCTTATATTATAAAATACAGTGCAGATATTTACTTAAATTCCACGGAATGACTTTCATGTTACGGGTATACTATAGCGAAAAGCCCACAAATATTGTACTACTATACTACATAGATCAACTGATGAATACACAATATGTGGAAGTAACATTGTTATAGGCAATACATTTATTTTATATCTGTCAAATGTTACCTTACAAAATGTGTTACGTATTATTTCTTGTGTTACCATTTTAAGGAGGCATAGCTCATTATTACTCCAAAATATTTGGCGAAGATGAAACAATTATTATATTTAATGCACCTGTATATTTAATTTGAAAGTGACTGTGACCTTTAAAAAAAAGTAAAAGCCCAATGTTGACTGACAGGAAAATAAATCAGACAACTGATAATATTTTCCTCCACTTAGGGAAATAGACTTGCGTCTGTTATTTTAACATCACTTTAATCATCGTTTCCTAGTTCTGCTCACTGTTCTTTCCCAGGATTTTATCATTTTTTCGGTACATTCGAGGTAGAAATGTCGCCATTTTTTACCTTGTTGAATTCTACGGTTCACAGCATCGGTTCGTGACAAGATTCATTTCCTATATTTTTTTTCATATCTCGTTTCGAATTGTGCAACTTTGACATTCATTTCTGCAGTCAAAGAACTTCATTTCTGCAGATCGTATGCATGGATAATTTCTTGTTGTTTTGGACCAGGATACAATACTGTATGGTAATTGTGATGCAGTATATCTTCCTGTAACTTGTAAATAAATAAAAGATAAAATAAATATAAATAAATAATAAATAAAATTAATTTAAATAAATAAAATTATTTAAATTTATTATATATAAAAAGATTTATACATATATAATAAATATATAATATTTTTTATATTTATAAAAAGTAATCTTTATATATAATAAATTGAAATAATTTTATTTATTTAAATTTAAATTTATTTAAAAATCTGTTCAAGTCAATATTACTGTATAGTGGCGGTGCTTTGTTTCATCATTAATATCGCCGCATTTCAATTGTTCATTACAACGACGAAGCGACGATTGTCGATTCCACTAAAGTGGTGGTCGTGTTTTTGAATGTGGGGTGTGCGTGGTGTTGCTCAGCTGGCGGCCTGCTGCGCATCGTGCGCATCCCCGGCGTGCTGTTGGCCACGTTCAGCATCGTGGTGACGTCGATGAGCATCGGCTTCCTGCAGGCGACGCTCGAGCCGCACCTGCGGCGCTTCGGCCTGTCGCCCGTCGTCCTGGGCCTCATGTTCGTCATCAACGGCGGCACGTACGCGCTCACAGCGCCCTGCTTCGGCTGGCTGTGCGACCAGCGCGTGCTGCCCAAGGCCGTGACGGCGTGCGGCTGCCTCGCCATCGTCATCGGCTTCAGCCTGGTCGGGCCGGCGCCCTTCTTCCCCATGGACACGTGAGCTGGGTCTTCTTTTGCTCCCATAGACAGTCGCTCGCTTTTGCGCTTTACTGTGCTGTTTTACCCACTTAACGCAAACGGAAGACGCGAAAGCCGCCCTGAACCGAGATCTGATAATTTAACAATCCGCCAATCCAATAAAGGCGAATGAGTTGTAGATACTGTATTAGTATACTTATTTAAAGAAATGTTATTTCTTGATAATTTTTTTTCTTCTTTTAAGAAGATTCGTTAATGAAAATGGGTGACAGACACACGATTGATAGCACAAATAAGACAGAGTTTGGTATAAACCGAGGCGAGATCTGACGTCAACCAAATCAGTTACATGATGTTTCTTGATGTAATAATGTTAATAAATATTTACTACTTTCTAATAAAACAAGATGGGGAAAGAAAATTGGCGGATGGTCTCCTAATCTAGATTTCATTAACGTAACTATTACAAAAACCTTTTTTTAATTCAGACAAAACGTAAAACTCAATATACGAAAACAATGTAAATGTATTAATAATTTGCAATACATATATTTTTTTATTCAGCAGACCAACCAATCTGTTAATCATTATAATTCATTGCTTTATAATTTCATTACGAGTACTACACTATTTATAATTCGCAACGTATTTTAACATGGCCGTAAATTCCGTTCATGACTACTTTTGACTCTTGCTGAACACTAAATCTTTCCTAAATAACATTTATACGTTTCTAAAAGAAGCCTGCCTAGGATACTGTAATTATTGAATTTCTTAGATTTTTCAATGATTTAATACAAATTTTAATCGTAAAATATGTCGGTGAAAGGATTTTATATTTTTAACGAGAAACAAACTCTATCGAATCACCCCTCTCAAATGACTTTCTTTAAGTCTGATCCCTCAAGTCTCTTAATTAACGAAGATAACAGGTAAGACGCAATCTCATTTCTCACTGCTACTGAATCGTGTAAAGAGCTAAATGCATAACTGTTTCTCTTTCAATTATAACAACCACATGTCTGTGTTGGAGGTACAATTCAAAACTCGCATGATTGTTGCACCATGAATTACATACATTCTTAAGGGAATTGTTTGTAATAAAATTGGAACAATCCCCAGGCATTATCTTGGGGAAACTTTTGTGTTGTTGATTACAACTTTTGCAATGTTGATTGAGATTCGTTGTTTTCCATTGGGTTTTGAAGCATTTGAGACTTGTTTAGTAGTCGTTCAGAACAACATACAGTGCATCAAATTCTTCAGCGCGAAACAATTGACTACTGAACCAATAAACAGTCCAGGAGTACGAAATGAACAAATTTTACGCAAATAGTTCCGGGTTTCAGACATCAGAATAAACGCAAGAAGCGTCCAATTAGGTATTTTTCAGGGGCGTGCGACATCGTTAACTCAAGGGTGCTTCATAAATAGCCATGTTGCGTCTTCTTGAAGGCAATTGAAACTGGACTAAGTTCTTCGTCCAGGTTTCCTTCGACATATTAGAAACGCTCTTCTTGAACGACGTGGTGTTCTACACATAAATTTAAATAGAAAAGGCCTTTATGGAAATATTAAATAGTAACAAATTAATAAATAATCATTCATACATTTGATATAAGTAATTTATAATAATGAATACATTTTCTGTACTAATACCCAATTGTATTGGTACATAAAATTCAAAAATGGTTTGTGTGCGACCTTTTCAAAATTTAAACCCCATTTTAGTCAGTAACAGGCAAACGTTCATTCGTGCTTCAGGAAATAATTTTTGTTAAAAATGGAAACGTCATTACCCTAGTGGGCACATTTTTAAGGAAAAAAATTAATATAATAAAATAATAATAATAATAATAATAATAATAATAATAATAATAATAATAATAATAATAATAATAATAATAATAATAATAATAATAATATTGCTGCAATTAAGTTCCTTAATACCGCCGGCTGCTCTGATCGGTAGTTTTAGTGTGGTTCCTATGATCACCTCCAGGCGAATGCGGAGGCAATACCTTGACAAACAGGCCACGGACCGAGCGCGACCTTTCCTTCCTCTTCATTGTCCTATCCCCTCCCCTTACACACACTTACACTAAGACACTACACTATCAGTCTTGTCGGGAGCTTAGAGCTTACCCCTATTGGGATGGTGCCCCGCTGGTGGGGGAAAAACGCCTAGCCGACGTGTTGGTTGGCGCCGGATATCGGCATCCAGAGGGGAGAGAGCACCGCCGCCTCTAGTGATAAAACATGCACCACGAAAGAAATGCGATACGAGACAAATGACTAATGTCGAGACAATTGTCGATGCTAAGGAGACTAATGTCGTCGTCGTCAGCAGCTGCCGCACCCGGAATCTCTAATCATCGAGTGACTGCTTTGGTGTGCGCGAATCTCCAATGAGCGAGCGACTGCTTTGGTGTGCGCAGGGAGCTGCCGGTGACCATCCTGGGGCTGGTGTGCCACGGGCTGGGCATAGCCGCGCAGCTGGTCGCCAGCTTCACGGACGCGCTGCGGACGTGCGTGGAGCACGGCTTCCCCAACGACCTGGAGACGTACGGGCTGGTGTCGGGGCTGTGGACGTCCACGTTCGCGCTGGGCGCCTTCATCGGGCCCTCCGTCGCCGGCTTCCTCTACGACTCGCTCGGCTTCCGCAACGCCTCCATGTTCGTTGTCGGCCTCAACATCTTCGTGGTGAGCCACTCTTGCACCTCTTCCTCAAACTTCTATTCTATACCATTGAATGTTATTATTAGCTTCAAATCAAACCAATACCTTCTCGCAGTTGGGTACATTAAGAAATAGACTGACGTTACATTCATATGAACGTTATTTAGCTCTTAAATACCGATACAAATCCGCGAAAACAAATGTAGTGTGTAATGTGTCATATGAAATGGAAAGTATTCTTGCACCTTAATGTTCGTCCGCCTAAACATCGTGGTAAGTAAATCTTCATTATCCTCTTATTTCTTTGTAAATTGTGTAGTTTCACGGTCCCATCGAGGTTCCATTTACAATTGAATGTTATTATTAGCCTCCAAAGCTGATATTCATATGAATATGAATGACCTCTTGCTTACTAAATTAAAATCTTCCTCGTACGTAAATGAAGCAATAACGTAATGAAAATGGAAATCACAATGAAATGGAAAGTATTATTCTTAGATTCCAAAATGTTGGTGCATTCAACAGTCAAGGGTAATGGAGAAAGATTAAGGGGTTCCAAAGATGAAATTCCGTGGAGAAATATAGCCTTCAAAAGAGGTGTAAATATCCATATTACCCACGCTTCTTTTCTTGACGAATGAGCTACCCTTTCGCTCTCTGGCACAGTAAACAAGTGATTGTAAAAGATTGCGTCGAGCTCTAATGACGGCATTCCAAACACGTGCTCATTGCTCAAAACATAAGCTTTTTGCTACTGGTGAAGAAAACTCCTGTTTTACTTTTAAAAATTTAAGAAATGACTGGCGCTGGTCGAGTACCTTCACATCATTTGGGGAACTCTGGATAATTTAATCCAAATAATTATCGAATTTTGGCGCAAACTCCGGACATTGACTTCTCCAATTAATATTTTGCTCTCAAAAGGTTTGGGTTTTGTGAGGGGAAGAGAGGAATCTCGATGTGTAGAGTAGACACACCATCGAAGTGTGTTGTAGGTACTTGTCGACAATAGTTATCGGCCGAAGTGCAAATATTTGTCGAAATCAGCAGAAATCTACGTACATGCTGACAGTTTAAATATATTTGAATTCACCATAGTGTTATTCTTGTAGCCCTGCTAACTGCTATTTATACAGAGCAGCGACCTGGCGGCCCCAGCAGCACATTTCACTCTGATTTACAGAGGTTGCCAAATCCCTTATGAGCTCTAACGGCCTTTTTCAAAAGGGATACCTCCCCCCTCCCCGCGCTCTATACACGCACTTCTCTACGTCAGTGGTAAAGAAACGTTATGAGGATAATACCATTTTATCCTGTCTTCGGTCCAATTCTTTACAAAATACGTGAATTCCATGTTGCGCAAATTTCAAACTGTTCCTTCCTTTGCTTTCTGTCAGCGCGTTCCACCACCTTTCTCTTTCTTTTTTTTTTCCGTCCAGTCCCATTTTATCCCCCCCCCATCTAGTGCCACTTTTTCACGCTACCTCATCTAGACCTATTTTCCACCCCATGCCTCCAAATACTGTAACGTCGGTGTTAGTGATCTACACCACAAGGAAACAGACACGAGTGGTATATACCAAGTTTTATTACACACTGTACATATTTACAACTCTCACTCTAGGCGGTTTGCCAGAGCTAACACTGCAGCCCCTCCTTCTCCTACAATGCGCCTTGCGGCGACGCCTACGACCAGCCGGCAAGCCGCGTCGCAAAATAGGCACCTGGTGTGCCCCGGCAGTTGACGATCTGCCCGAATGTGTTTGAAGAACACATCAACCCTGTCCGAACTCGTCGAAAACACCACGTGCCTCGGCACTTCTCACCAGCCTGGGCGGACAAAGTTGTGTGTTCTAGCACGAAGGAAACCAGAAAACGTTACCCGTCCGCGCCGTCTCGCCGCGGCGTTTTTATAGGTCCAGGTCACCTGACCTCTACGTCACTACTTCCCACCCGCGCGGGTGGAAAGGCTTTTCCCTGGCGCTGCCTGGCCCGCGGGACCATTTCCTTGTCGGAAAGTCCCTTCTTTGTTCTATCTTAGATCCCCCACCTTCTTACCTTGCACTGGTTTGCTGCTGCCAAGCGTGACGCCTTACAATACCATCTCTTCCCAAACCTTTTCCCTGTCCCCTCAAACAAAACTTTTTTTTTTTAAAAGTGTATTGTTTGTTGTTGGTTTTTCGTGGACTAATGCGTGTGCGTTGCGCAGGGCATCCTGGTGGTGGGCTTCCTCATCGCGTCGCGGCGCAAGCGCGCGCAGTACAAGCAGGCGGAGGCGGACACGGCGGCGACGGCGGCGGCGGCGGCGCGCCTGGGGCTGTCCTTCCACGACAGCAGCGCGTCGCACAACAGCTCGCACTCGCACATGAACGGCTCCGCGCGCGGCGTGCCCATCGAGCGGCCGCCGGGCATGCAGGGCATAATCGCGCGCAACAGCTACAAGAACCGCCACGGCACGTGGCACATGAAGGACTCGGGCGCCGTCTTCGTGGGGCCTTACAGCTCCAGTTACGGCAGCGCGGGGGAGACGCGTGGGCTGCTCGACACGCCCGCATGAGCGCCGCCCGGCGCGGGCGGGTCGGGCGGCCTCTGGGGGCGGTGGGGCGCCGCGGCGGGGACGGACGCCTCTGGCGATCGCGCACCGACGGCCGCTCTGGTGTGACGACGACAAGTGGAGGGCAGTTTGGGCGCAAATTCAACCGTCGCGGCTCCATCTGGACAGTTAGCGGATTTTCAGACTCCTTCACTTCCCCTTGTACATATGTAACTTCTTTTTATTCGTTACCTCGAAGTAAACAAGTCATGCCGAAGAGTATCTTGGAACGTATTGTTAGTTGCGCTGTAAATCGGCTGTTGTTCTGTGCAGGTGGTTGCGAGTTTTTGTAGACTATTCTGATAGACTGATGTCTACTGAGAGTCCTTAACACGCCGATAAATAGGCTATCTTGTTAAACGCTTCTCAGTTACTGACAGGTTGTAAGTATGTGAACTCATTCGTAAGCAAAACAACACCTTTATGCAGAGATTTCTAAAAAAATGATTTTGACGTAGAGAGAAACGTTCGCGATATAAATATACCTTCTGAACATTTAAAAACTATTTTCACTTCAATATCTGTAAAATGGTCTTGAAATTACTATTTTATTTGCTTATGACATATTTTGCACTTCAAAAATTGAGGTTATGTTCTCTAAAACTATCTGAAACGTGATAGATTTAGAGAGAACAGAATTACCTAAAAAATGGACAGTAATAAATTGTTTCTGTGTAAATGTTTCCAGTCTTTTTTGTAAAGTTATATTTAAAATAGATGCCAATAAATCTTCTTATTGTAGACTGATTTTAGATAATTATGTTTTACCTAAGCCTGAAAACTTTAATTTATCAATTTCTAATAGTTTCAATAGTGCATAACCTCGACTTTTGTAAAAGGTACATTTGTCATAAGCAGATAAAAATAACAATATATTGAAGATGTCACTTTGAAAATAATTTTAAAATGCCCCGAAGATATAATTTAGACTGTGATATAACGTTCATTTACATTAGAATCGGCGTTTTTTAGGAATTGGGGTATAAAATGCTTCGTTGTACCTATAATTTCTTTTGTCTCCACATATGTGGCCTTAAAGACTACCACATTGTTACACGCGATATAGGGCGCATTATAGGCAATGAATTACCAATAATAACTCTTTTCTTTATTTAATACAAAGGTTGATTTGGAATTTTCGTTTGAAACGGAATTCTGACAAGTATTTATGTTCAGCTTTTCAAAGAACTCTTCGAAGTGGGGAGTTTTTGAGAGTAGACTTATTCATGGAGGAGCCGCTTGGCACAGCCGATTAATCACCTGGAGTCAAAATTTAATCCACTGATTTGCTACCATCGATAAGAATACCATTTAGTTTTAGATACGTTTCAAACGCGACGAGAGATGTAAGATTCTAGTGTGTGAAGAAAATTATTTTTTATCATGATGATGTGTGCGAGATAATTTTAATTTTTATGAATTATTAATTTCTGAAATATTTTCCAATGTGATAGTAATAAGTGATGGTTGGAGAATGGTTTAAGAAGAAAGGAACTATTTATCGTAAAGAGCAACATTTTGGAAATAGTCACCAAGATTAAAGATTGCTTTCATTTCCAAATGGACAAGTATGGTGAAGTCAATTCGTGTTTCTAAGTGAGATTGTTAGTAAATTCACTTGAAGACTGCAATCGGAATGGCCATTTGTTTCGACAGTACACGAAATGTGTGAACACTGGTCAGATATTTGTATGAGGTTCCTGTGTACATGTACAACTCAATAAACTTATTCTCGCGGGTAGATTTGGCTTTTTTATTCCTTAATCCAGAAACCAACATTATCACATTTTCCTTGAAAACAACATATCTACAATATGAAGAGTTTGAGGAGAATACCATTTTGGATGAAACTGATTGAGGAATACAAACACATGCATTCATAATGAATTAAAAGGGACCCATTTAACGGAAGAGGGTACCAAGTTACTGATGTACCCTTCCTCAAAAATGGTTAACAAGAAAATTTAGATATTTCACACACTTAAAAGATATTTTTTAAATTAATTTGACGTTTTTTGAGTTTACTGAAAAATAATTAGAATTTTTTCAATTATAACGTTTGCCCTAATTTTTTTCAGCATTTTGGACAACCATTGTTTTTTTATAGAATAATTATATAAAATGTGAATTTATGGACAATTCTATAAACAATATATCCTGGAAATTTCAATAAACTGTGAATAATATTTTCTGAGAAAAGATACGTTAATTGCAAAATAACTTCATTTTCGGGAAACTCCATTAGAAAAAAGTCTGTACATGTCACTGCTCTACTAGAACATTCCTGATCCGTATTCTGGACCTTTCTCTTCAGTAGAAAATACCAATTCCAATAATTTATTACCAAGAGCATGTTTTAGTGACTCATTAACAACCCAACATTTTATTTTCATAAAGATAATATCCTCATTGAATGAAAACGAAACACCTATTGGAATATTTTTAGATCCATTTAGGCTTGGCGAATGGAAACGAAAGTGAGTGACTGCTCGCGGGTTCGCCAATTTATGTACGCGCCCTCCGCGGAAGGGATAGAGCGGAGTTTCCACATCTCCGACTGACTCCGTCATTTTCCTGCACCGAGCGGCGGATACAGCGGGCAACCGTATCCTTGGCGGCGGGCGCGCCCTTTTCGAACAGCGCCGCGCTCGCTCACCCGTTCTGCCACAGGCGTTCTTACGATGTGTGGGCATGTGGGACGAACACGTTATATAGGCGTTCACACATTATATAGTCACATGCGTTAGTCACACATTTTATATATAAAGCCAAATAAATTAATAAAATTATTAAAAGCCAAATACAATTTAAACACTGTTTCAGGCAGTCTGTATCCATTTATTGTACTAAATCTCAATATTGAATGAACAACTATTATATTATTTATTATTATTACTATTATTATTACTATTATTAATTATTACTATTATTAATTATTATTATTATTATTATTGCTAATTTCTAGTCCTTCATAAAAATGACTACTAACCTTGATATGACAACATTTTCTATGACTAGTACACAATGTTTTAACATTGAGAATTTGCCAACGACGATGTGGGACATACGTCTCCGATCTTTCCTTGGCAAACGCCAAAATAACTGTTTCACTTACTTTACCAATATTCTTAAATTTACGCTAATGTTGAAAATCTTGGTATTCTTTCTCATAACTTATCTTCGTTTTCACGGGTAAAAAGTCGAAGCTTGCACCAATTGCAATTTCTAAAACATCGCCTGAAATATCCTCCATCTTAAAATGTGAAACATACATCTGTTTAAATGTGTAGAGTAGAAACAAAACTACAGCATTACATCGAATCAAAATGAAAGACTGATGCGTCTGATGGATCGAAGAATCGAATCGAATTGAAATGGACGATGGTGTTCCTCCTATGTATTAAAAGCAAAAGCAAAAATTTTTCTCACATTCATTATTTTTCTTATAAGAATATGGTATTACAAAATGTATTGAACGTCACCCAGCAGATAACACAAATAACAGACTTGGGTGATTATAAATCGCGGTTATCGCTTCGATTTACAAACTTCCACCGCATCTTTTATTTGATGTCCACTGTCTAATGACGTTAATAATTAAGACATAATTCATATCCATAGCAACAATGCAAATAAAGATACATTTCAGCAATTAAATCTCACCCAGTAATGTACTACAATTTTCGCAAAGTTCAATATTATCACCTACACAATTGTTTCGCTTACTTGCATGTAATATTTACACTGAGAAAATATTGTTTTATTAAAATCACTTTTTCTCAATAATTCTCGAGATAGCTATTGCTCTCTAATAGGAAAATTGAATTATGACTTTAATAATACCATAGAGGAGTAAAACCTGGTTATATAAGAAAATTTTCATTGAAAAATGTTGAGCCGTTTTGAGAAAATGTCGTTTGATCTTTTCTGAAAATGTGCATTTTTAAATTTATTTTAATAGGAAACTTTTAAGTTTTCGAGATCTTCATAATATATTATTTAAAGCATTTTAATTATAAATACACTCATGTATAAACAACGTTCGCAATGCAATTAACGACGTGAGAGATATTTAAAAAAAAATTTTGTGTACTTTTTGCTTTATCTCATTCTACATACACAGAAAGTGATATAATGCCTCAGCGATTTTCGGTACAGAAATATCTATTGTAGGTCCCGAAAAAGTAATTAATTATTGTTCTTGTATGTAGTAAATTACTTCCTCTAACGTGTTGGTTAATGAGTATCCACGTTTTCTGTGTCCTTGATACACAGAAAAAATGGTTTACAGTAAAGTGTCTTCTCGTCTGCCTGTCCGTCTGTGAACCACGTTAGCGGATAAATCGTTAGCGGAACTTTCACAAAAATTGATATTCACATATTGAGCTTACTGATGCCATGGCCCCTTGAATTTGAAAATGATTTTTAATTTGTGGACTTTCCCTAAAGTTTCTAGGTCAGTATTATTTTGCTTCTGAAAAATAACCGAAAATTATTTTTCTGTGGCAATTCTTTTTATCGGTTAGAGTAAAGCACTCTCATGAAAATGGCGCAGGACCTACTTTTATTAAATTCTTTTAATTTTCGGAAAGTGAAAAATTTGAAAACGTTTTCGGCTTTTTTCTACAACTACAGTACTGAAAGATAATGATTCTTCTTCTGAATGAATTCTGTTCTTCAAAATGAGATCTTTAATTGAGGTCATGAAATATTTTGTTAAATATTTGTATTTTTCGCAAAGTTTGTGTGAAATAAGGGCAATTTTAGAAACAATCTTTTTTTAAAAGGCTTCAATTCTTTTCTTGAAATTTATTGTACAGATTGTGCTATTTGATGAGGGTATTTATTTTTGAGTGATTCTACTTTTTCTTTCGTAATAGATCAAGAAATGTTTTCTTTATTATCAGTAAGTGTTTTTATTTTTGGGGATGGCCAATTTTTCTTTTTCTGATACTGTTCAGTAATTCAGATCCAATGATTTTCAATCTGACTGCTCTGAAATGTCAACTGCATCATTTACATTACCAGTTGAATTAATCGAAGACGTAGTGCTCGAGTTGGTTGACGAAAGCAGTATTTTTACTCTTACCGATGGAGGTTTCCATAGGTTTTTACCATGTTCATTCTGAGAACCCTCGAATGGCGAATTGTGAGGAAGTAAAAGTTGAGAGGAATTTAGCAGGTGAGGGGAGAGAAATGTTTACGGTTGATTTTTGATAATTCATTTTCAACTCGAAAATACTTAGGACTATTGATCTCATCTTCAGGAGAAATAAATGTCTGCCATCAAAAACTCAATATGTGGTTCAAATCGGCATCTGAAAAATCCGCCCGAATAAATGTCATTGTTGATTCTGTTTCGACGTTGACTTGGCTTCTAGAATACAGTGAGGGATACTGAGACACACATTCGATGAAATTATTCTTTGTTGCGTGAAATTAACGGTCTGATTGTGAAGTCTTGATCTAATACGTTAATGGACTTGCAATTAGTAACTAGATCAACAGCTACTTCTTTGGAGGCAAGAAACACACAGAGTCTACTGTTAGAAATCTTGGATGCAAAACGTATTTGAGACGGATTTATTTTCTTTGATAGAGATTGAATAAAGTCAATGGTGGGTGCAAGGTTTGCTGAGTCTATTACTACAGCATTTTCTATTTTGGGAATCAAAGAACTTTGTGATGCATGAACATAACTTACTTGAACTGATGTTTGCCTGGCAACTAGAAAATGGTGCTTTCATTATGGTTTATAGGTATTGCTAGGGGACCGAGCAATAGTTATTTATTCACCAAGATTCTTGAACTCACAAATACAAAAAATACACACTGTAACTCATCGAGGTCTGTGCCAACACTGCTTAAATTATTTCTTCCGTGTCACTGGCAGTAAAATAATGCCACGTCTCCTTTTAGGGTCCAATAATATTCTTAGGACCATATTTAAAACTTAACTATTAGGGGAGTGAAAAATTACAACAATTTAAGGAAAGTTTTTTAAGCGCCGATAAATAGCAGGTGAAAAGAATATGTGGCAAAGCCGAAAAGCTAGCTCACTAGTTAGCTAAAGAGATTAGAAAACGAATGACTGTTCCAATCCACAGCACCATTAGTTTTAATTGCCTCGTACTGTCTACTACGTACTTTTATAATGCTTAGTACCAATACCGAAAAAATACTTTTTTTCTGGCATATTTTTTCGTCGTTGACCCATTTCAGAGGATCACATCTTTTCCCTGGCATAAAACTGCTCAGTCTGCGTAACGCCTTAAGCAGATTAAGAAGCGCGGTATTCTTAGTTAACTTTGATGATATTGAGTTTGAAAATTCTCTGTCGTTGACAATAAATAGAAATTATCCTATTATTTTGACTAGATGATTAAAAAAATAATATCGGATTCAAATCAACCGAAAACGTATTAGATTCCCTTTAATGCAAAAAAAATGCGATTTTGTTCTGCAGTTGTATTTTGACACTTCATTTTCATACTTACTACGTAGATAGTATGCATTTTCATACTTATTAAGTAGATTGTATGCACTTTCATACTTACTAAGTAGATTGTGTGTATTTTTTTGGGAGTGAGCTTTCTATTCATAGTAAATTTTACAAAATTAATCTTGTTTCTCTATTCGACCTGTCTGTGGAAAATGATAAATAAATAAATAAATAAATAAATAAATAAATAAATAAATAAATAAAGATATTGTCTGGTATCAATATTTTAATTCAGCTTA